CATTTCAGTCTGTTATAAGACTTCATTCCCACGTTTGTAATTCGTAGCTCGCATCGGTTTTCTTACATTTGAGAGTTACTCCTTCCTTCTCATTTTCCCTTTCAGTCTTGTCTAGAATTACCTGCACCTTCCTGTCTGCGACTGCCATAAAAAATGACGTCTGTGTTCAGAGGTGTAAAAAGAAAGGTAGACTACAAAAAGGCGTTATATATAAAAGGTTATATTTGCCAAGTAATTGTTACTGCTAAAGATCGAAAAAAATTTCCAAATATAATTCTATCGAGATAGTTGTCAACACCTAACAAAAACATCAATTCCTTGTTAAAAAATGTTTTTTGTGGTAGTGGAAACTAAAAGTAACTGACATTTGTTTCAAATCAGATTAATTAAACTTTAAATCAGCTACCCTTCCTCAAATAAATTTTCACAAAAGTATATTCTGGTGAGCCTAGAAAAAATAAATTTTAAATCAGGAAAACTCTTGAAATTGTAAAACCGAATTAAAATCTAACTTAAGGCAGGATTGTCCCTTGTATATTCTTTATTTAAAATGAAACTGGATCGCTATATTTGCCGTACCATCGATTGAAAATATTTTGTTGAAAGATGGCTGCGTGACAAGGATGAAGATATGAACACTCTCTCACACATCGCAGACAACGGTATAAGGTCAAAATTTCAGACAAGAGGCCACCACACCCTCGGGCGCACACACACACACGCATAAACACACACATAAACAAAAGCACATCCACATACCTTAAAATTTTAGGAATATATTTAAGTAATCTAATGTTTTATTGAATTTTAGGTGCTTAGGCATCAAATTGAATATAGTTACTGCTCTTAGTTTCTGATAATGTCGCGTATGGTCGTCCGTATTTCTAAAAGTCTGCACGTTTATACACACACATAAAAAATTCAATTTTGTTTCAAAATATCTTGGGTCGCTGAATTGTAGTAAACTTTCCCATTTATGATTAGTAAATATAGTTCTTACTTAATAACAATATAACCTAACCACTATAAATTAATACAGGATTTTAAAACTTTATAAATTATTCTAATTAATTTTTTTAAAAAAAGATGAAAGCATTTCTTATATAAATTCATTATTCATCGATTTTTTTTAATAAAAAAAATGGCGTCTATAATATATTTTATTCATAACAGCAATTAAAATATTTTCTAATTAAATATTCTCTTAGTGTTATCTCATTTTTTTTCTTTTATAATTCAGAGCAGATTTTCTATAGCTTCGAGTCCCGTTTTACAAAAAGTAAGGAATGATAATTTAAATTCTCCAAGAATTTCCGCTTATAACTAATAAAAAAACATTCTCGATTTTTTTAAATTAAAGGGGGCGTAACAGATGTAAAAACTTATTTTCACTAATATTTTCTAAAAAAAAAACACAATTTCTAAAATGATTTCATTGATTCGTGAATAAGTACTGAAAGTTTAATTAAAATCCGACAATTATTTGAGCTTAAAAAGAATTTCAAGTTAATGTGTTTTTTCAAAGCAAAAATGCGCTAAAATTTCCTATACGCAAGTCAAAAAAATTACCAAAATTTTGAAGGCTCTAAAAAGGATTAAAAATATAATTTAATAATCAAAAAATCATTTGTTCTTTCGGCATAATAATCTATCTATCTATCTATCTATCTATCTATCTATCTCCACACAAAAATTTATCAACACCAGGTGAAAGAATTCTATAATCCTTACGAATACCTCAGTGACGTAACTTCCGGTTCGGCTTTTGCTTTAAAGCTGACACTGTTATTTCGGCAGCAGACAATGTAAAGCAGTGTTGCTGAGGGTCATTTCCACCGGAAACTGCGGTTGTTTTCAAAACTGTTTTTTGTGGGCTTACTATTAACTAGCAGCTGTCTCATGAACTGAAAAATCCTTTCAATTTTTTGGTATGTTTAGTTTTGCAAATACCTTCTCTTGTAAAAACAAAAGAAAATAAAAGACATAGATAGCAGATGAGGTCACATTGTTTTCTTAATACAACAACACGATAAAAATTTATCGCATAGATATCCATAAGGTAAAAGCAGATATCTGACAATATTTCTGAGATGAGGTATTGTAATTATTTGCATTGATCGAACTGTTTTCCTCATCTTTATTGTCCTAAAGGACACATGGCCCAGTTGATAAAAGCGTCGGTTGAATCCAGTGACTTAACCTTAAAGAGTTGTGAGTTCAATACCTGGCTACAGCTGAGGTGTACAAAAACTTAGAGAGTTAAGTTAAAGGGAGATAACTGATACTGAGTCATCCAGAAGAGGCATGGCACCTGTAACTAGAAGACTCTACTCCGGTGGACGAAATAAAGAGGTCAGTTCGAGATTCCAATCACCTGAAGAAAGCCAAAGCGTACAACGGCCGAAACGTCGTGAATAGGGCAACGAAGATGAGGACAATTGTCCGAATAATGTTAACAATATAAGTAAAAGTAGATGTAAATTCAAAATTAGGATAGTATACTTTCTTCTTTTTTTGTCCTTAACCCCGGAAGAAGTCGTTGGGACCCCGACGTGCTGATCTTTCTACCACTCTCCTCTATCTGTCGTGGTCGCGTGCCGGAGCCTGGGTCTCCGTGCATGGTGTCTTGTGCTTTTTAACCTGGCGGAGCACATCCCTCTTCATGTCAGACCTCCATCTAGGTGGCTCGCTTTGTTTGCGAACACGTGGCCGTTGTCGTACAGCTGAGGAACCCTTCCGCCGTTGCCGGTGTCCTGCGTCGAGGTGGACCTTTGCCCAGTAGCGTCGTGTTAACACCACCCCATCAAGGTTGGTAGGTTAAGTATGATAATAGCCGTTTCCTTATAAGGAAACATTTGGAATTGATTGACCGAGCAGCAAGTACTATTTCGGTTGTGCTGTTTATTCCTGTTAGAAGAGGGTCTAACTACAAGAACATGGTGGACTCAAGTTGAGTCCAACCGAAGATGTACAGAAAACAAACAAAACCGATATATATATATATATATATATATATATATATATATATATATATATATAAAACAAATATATGTATTAAACAAAAAATTTCCAAGTGACAAAGACATCAACATTTGTGTTTGTTTGTGAACGTAAAGAGTTTGTATATTGGTGAAAGTTCGTACGTACGTATGTGTGTTTCATGTCGTTTTCCCACAAGTGGGCAAAACGCAGATTTCTGTGAGAGATCACATTTTTAAATGTGTCCGCTGAAATACAAAGTAAAAAAGAGAACGAGGCAAGAAGTCGCCCAGTATTTATAGTGTAGAGAGAGCGCCCCTAGTGAACCACTAGGAAATTAAGGAGGAGATAACTCCGACAAAATCTTTCTCTTAAAAAAAATTTTTCAGGAAAAGACTTTTTTGAGGTTCAGAAATAGTTACCGTTCTTTCCCGTACTGATGACGATTTCCTTCCTAACCTTTCGTTAGAAGGTGTTGAATATCAATATCTTGATTATGTTATTATTTTCACTTCGAGTTAGATTTGATATCCATTTTTTGCTTCTGAAAGTCCTCAAGTGATACGGTATTTTACTTGGTAAAGTTATTTTGTGCTTCCGCAGCGCCAGTCCACAATGTTCCAAGAAGTCTTCAGAAAAATCCAAATGGCTTCAAAAACAAAAAATTACCCCAGTAATTTTTTGTACAGCTGACAGTTTAAATATTTCTGAAAGGATTTAGCGCCATGCATGACATTCATATTAAAGTCTCGAGCTGACTAAGCTATGACTCGAGTTTTCAAGTTGATGTTTAGGCTTTATCGCAATTTGCGGCTTTAGATGACACTAACTGTAGCACAGCGTATTCTATGTTCAATTTCCTTATCTCCTTATCCGTGATATTTGGCGTGTTTAATATTTATTAAATCCTCATACTGATATATATATATATCGGTTTTGTTTGTTTTCTGTACATCTTCGGTTGGACTCAACTTGAGTCCACCATGTTCTTGCAGATAGACCCTCTTCTAGCAGGAATAAACATGACAAGTGTTTGTCTATAGGCTCAAGCATAAACTCGATATATGTCTATTAATATCTCAGCAATAAACAAGAGCTCTGTCTATCGATGGGCTCAATTAAAAACAAGTTTTCACATTTCAGTTATGTGCCATGCGTGATACACGCTTAGGCGATCATGTATCTTTCGATACGTGACTGACGAGGCAGATTTTTTTTTTCCCGAAGTAGGATGCTATTTCTTTCTGTGGTAGACCAGTTGTCATCCAAGGCTATAAAACACGGTCTGTTTGATGGGGGTGAGGAGAAGAAGAGGAGTCATACATTTCCCAAGGGAATGTAAATAAAAGTAATAGATTCGACTGGAATTCGAACTCGGCTCTCCGATTTCTTAACTCGAACCGCTATCTATTACACCAGCGCGCCTCCACACGTTTAAATTTTCTTAAACAAGGTTCGGATAAATAGAATTGGATTTTCACTTCCTGAATTCCTGTGAGCCATAGACGGCGTCTTATCGAATTTTGGTCACGGATTTATGTGTAAAGTTGTATTCTTACTTACTCGATGGTAGATGATATTTGCTTGTCTGTCTGTTTTTTGTTTTGTTTCATTTTATTTTTTAAAAAACTTTTCATTTCTCTGTACATTTGAACATTTTATTTTCTCTTCAAACCAATAACTCAAAGTATTTGTCGCACCTAATTTCATATTGGCGCGGTCGACATTTTTTTACTCCTGGCTTTTTTTTTCCTCATTTCTCTTTACTACTTAATCAGAAGGCGTTTTTTTTTTTTTTTTTTAAGGAGGTACATCACTATTCGTTCTAATTTTGTATTGACGTCACGGTTTCTGGTTTCCCACAATGATGAACTATGTTTTTTTGTTCCTTGTTTGATTTTTTGGATTTATTTTATTTTTTTTATTTTATTTTATTTTATTTTTTGCCATTTTCTTTGAGGAGAGAGTTATGGCTTTGTCTACTTTGTTTTTCCACGCCTATAAAAGAATTTTTAGACCCCATGTTGTTGTTACTTATTCTTATTACATATTTTATGTCTCATTCGTGTTTTTTTCTTCTTCTCTATTCACTAGAAGTTTCTTGTCCTTTTCTTTTCCTGTGTAAAAAAATTTACTCGTGTTTTTTTGCGCCTGATCTTCTATCTATCTATCTATCTATCTATCTATCTATCTATCTATCCGAGTATTATCTATCTATCTATCTATCTATCTATCTATCCGAGTATCTATCATTCACTATCTATCTATCTATCTATCTATCTATCTATCTATCTATCCGAGTATTCATTATCTATCTATCCGAGTGTATTCATCTATCTATCTATCTATCTATCTATCTATCTATCTATCTATCTATCCGAGTATTCACTCATTATCTATCTATCTATCTATCTATCCGAGTGTATTCATATCATCTATCTATCCTATCTGTATTCATTATCTATATCTATCCGAGTGTATTCTATCTATCTATCTATCTATCTATCTCCGAGTGTATTCACTATCTATCTATCTATCTATCTATCTATCTATCTATCTATCCGAGTGTCTATCTTCTATTATCTATCTTCATCTATCTATCTATCTATCATCTATCTATCCGAGTGTGTTCATTATCTATCTATCTATCTATCTATCTATCTATCTATCCGATCTATCCGAGTGTATTCATTATCTATCTATCATCTATCTATCTATCTATCTATCTATCTATCTATCTATCTATCTATCTATCTATCTTCAATTTATTTGTTATGAGTAGCCTTATTTGAAGTAGACGACTCTGTTTTCATTTTATATGGCTGCAATACACACTTTTTAAAATGAAAATGGGTCGTCCATTTCAAATAGCCATTAAAAATTGTTTACCCATTAAAAATAAACGCAAGCAACAAATAGATAGATTCAGGCGTAACAAAACCGATAAAACTATTTTTACACTAGAAAAGAAATTTGTGGAGAAAAGAATATATATATATATATATATATATATACACACACACACACACACACATATATATATATATATATATATATATATATATATATATATATATATATATATATATATATATATATATATATATATATATATATATATATATATATACCCAAGTTGTATTGTATACGGAATAAATTATAATAACTAAAATAATATTCTTAAAGGAGTGCTCAATACAGAGTAGAGTATATATAATTTATTCAATGATTACAACATAAATATGTTATAAAATCCCTACAAAAATGGCCATTTTGTTTCAAGAATTCTTGTATCTTATGAAGTAATGGTGTTGAATCACATGATAAGACATCTGAAATATCGAAACAAAATAGCTACATTTGTAGTGATTTTATAACATATTTATGTTATAATTTTCGAATAATTCCTATATATATATATATATATATATATATATATATATATATATATATATATATATATATATATATATATATATATATATATATATATATAGTTTTAAGGTCTGGTGTATTTATGCGTTAAAGTGCTTAATATCAGCAAAAGAGCGTATGTAAATATAAAAGTTGTTAATGAAGTCAAAACCCAGAGGCGATATCAGTTTAAACATTGTCACGTTATAAGGTTTTAACATTTAAATGTGTCACACGTTTTGTTTTTTTTTGTTTTTGTTTTTGTTTTTGAGTATAGAACATCAGTGAATAACGCTAGACATAGATCCTGTTTATCTTGAGTGGATAGATTTGAAATTTGTCCGGCGTCAATAACACTTTTACAGTAATTTATGTCTTTGGTCACTCAGTGTTTTTTTTTTCCTAACTGCTTCTCTCCAGGAAACAAAGGAAATGACTATTATTCCCTCGAACTTTGCTTTTGCGTTCCAGGACATCAATGTTTTGAAACTAGCCTATTTTTCATGACATTCCAGGCATATTCACAGTTGAGTCGCTGAAGGACGGAGAAATCAGCGCGGAACAGCTTCGTCGCTGTAGTTCGGGTCTTCCTGGGGAATCTCAAGGCCGACAACTTTGTGAAGCTTGTTGAGACCCTGGTGAAGAACTCCGGCAAATGGGACGCAGGATGTCGCTCATCTTTATAAATTCATAGGTATTATAGTGAAACACACCTATTCTATTGTTAATAGACTCTCCTACCTATAATAAGTAGGAGTAGTGGCAGTCGCTCAGGAGTTGGTCAGTCAGTCGATGCCGGACGACCTTTAGTCGGATACTAAAGTATCAGCGACCACCACTAGATTTCTCTGCGTCATTAACTATTATTTCAAGTTCCTAACGTTTTGTACGTCGAACCTATTTTAGGGCCGACTTAGTGAAATACAAGCCTCCACTGTGAAACTACTCTACAACAATAGGTGCGTACACGAAGGAGCAAAGCGAACGCTTCCATCAGAATACACTGGGCTTTGAATGCCGCTGCCAAAGATCGTATAAAGAAAACATAATAGGAAACTATATTTGGAATCTGATTCGTGAACGCAATTTACAGTATAACGTTAATCCCGAAGAACCTCTCAATTTCTTGTGGTCTCTCTTGTATAATCCTAGAATAAATAAATGCCACTTTTGAATCATATTCCGTTTTGTTTCTAATTTCATAATGGGAATAGATAAATTTCAGAAATGTCATTAACTTAGTCGCAAAAGTTAAGTTTGAAGGAAATATTAGCAAGTTTTCATTTTTTTAGACGTAAGCTAATTAGGAATAAAAGTTGCTACCTGATGTAATGAATATGCATACACCTGGGTTCCCCCTCACAGTAATATGATTGGCTGGTGTCAGCCATAACTACAGACTGATGTGGCGGTACAGGGAGGACTACCACTACGACGAGGACCAGTCCATTACGGTTACCTGCTAAATTGTCCTACTTGGTTACAGTAGCCCCAAAACACTTTGCTATTTCGAACAAATGTATCCCTTTCCAGGACATATCACTACCCAAGGACAAAAATCATCTTACACAGTGTAATTACTCATCTAAACATTCCCGATAAAATGCATCTCTCTTTTCATAATGCTGGTTCATTTCAATCGGTCTACAATGTTTGTGTTAATGCAACGCTATTCTCAACACGGTCAACCAAAATGATTCTGTATAAATCGGCGTGAGACAGCTTTGTCGCAGTGGTTCAGGGCTTCCTGTGGAATCACAAGGCCAAAAACTACGTGGAGTTTACTGAGAGTGGTGAAAAACTACGGCAAATGGGCTCCAGGATGTCCTTCAAATCCATATCCTTGACGCTCATCTTGATAAATTCAAGGAGAACATGGCGGCCTACTCAGAGGAGCAAAGCGAACGTATCCATCATGATATACTGGATTTTGAATGCCTCTACGAAGGATCGTATAAAGAAAACATGATAGGAGACTATATTTGGGAGCTGATTCAAGAACGCAATTTACAGTATAAGTGTAAATCCCGAAGAATTACTCACTTTCTTGTGGTCTCACGTGTGTAATTCTTGAATAAATAAATGCCACTTTTGAATCAGATGTCGTTTTATTCCCACTTTCCATGAACGAGAATGTCCAAATTCGCCAGATTTCCCAATGGGAATAAGTGAATTTCAGAAATATCATTATCCTGGTCACAAATGCAAAGTTTGAAGGAAATATTAGCCATTTTCCATACATTCTAGGCGTAAGCAACTAGAAAATAATACTTGCTACCCAAGGATAAAAATCGTGTTTCACAGTGTAATTCGGGTTTATTTTATGTGTTATGGCTGGCCACTTCTATTCGGGGATACTCGTCTACTAGATCAGCTAGCCAATCCCTATTGCAGACGCTTGCTCAGGCGCATTTTGTGTTTTTTTCAAAACCCAAAGAGCCCACCTGTGTTTTATACTGCGACAATGCTGAATTTTATGTAGCGTATAACAATATACCTACATTATTTACATTATTCGGACTATTGACCTCATCTTTGTCGCCATATTTATCACAACTCTCCTGAGCCGACCAAGCATAGAAATAAATACAATATGGGAACCAGTAATAAGGAGTGCTGAAGACATTAGGTTTATAATACCCATAAATCAATACCTCAAGGACACATGGCACAGTGGATAAAGGCGTCGGTTAGATCCAGTGACAGGACCCAAAGTGTGTGAGTTCAATGCCCGGTTAAGGCAATGGAGAACTTTCAGAGGGAAATTAACAGGAGATAACTGATAACTGACATCCATCAAACACGGAACGTGGAACTAGAACAGTCTAGTCGGTGAGCGAAATAAAGGGTTCAGTTCGACATTCCAACCACCTGAAGAAGGCCGGAACGTTGTGATAAATATGGCGACAAAGATGAGGACAATAGTCCGAATAAGGTAAATAATGTACATAATACCTCATCTCGGAAATATAGACAAACAATATAGCTGTTAATAAATTCAGTAGATTAATCAGAACCTGATAGGCGGGGTATCTATGAAACCTGGAGTTTACAAATCAGCTGCTGCGTCTACTGATTCACTGTGCCGTGCCAAAATATTTTCTTGTCAGAATCCATCTTGCACGTTTACAAATCTACCATTCGTCCGTGCATTAAACATTGCTATCATATCTGGTCATGTGCTCCTGCTGTAGACCTCTGGACAAAATCCAGAGAAGGGTATGCAATACAATTGGTCCTGACCTGGCATCTCATCTCCAGTCACTTTATCACCGACGTGACGTGGCTTCCCTCTGTCAGTTCTACAAATAATTTTATGGCAACTGCTCTGATTAGCTTTTTTTTGCCCTGATGCCTCGACTAATTTTAAAGAAGGTTCTGTAATATAATGCATCCTGACTGGGCATCTCGACTTCAGTCACTTTCTCACCGCCGTGACGTGGCTTCCCTCTGTCTTTTCTACAAATATTTTCATGGCAATTGTTCTGATGACCCTTTCTCCTTAGTGCTTAGACTGCATGAATTTAAACGTACTACTAAACTGGCATCTAGATCTCATCGTTTTGCTATTGAACTAACTAGATGCAATCTCCACTTCTAATCAAACAGTTTCTTTACTCGCACTTCATACCTGTGGAACTTCTTTCTGATTTTTTTTTCTACACTGATAACTACAATCTTCATGAAATTAAATGCGACATCAATCGCCATCTTTGTTCCTTCTTTGTACTTTCCTCAATCCTCCCCATTTTAAGTCTTCTCATTCGCTTTCACTTTTACACCCTGTAACCCCCGCCTCCGTATTCTAGTGGCATTATCGCTTTGCTTGGGATAAAAACGATTCAAAAAACTATTTTGGATAGAAACCTATTATGGCCCAGAGTTTCAATGTCGATTTGTTCATAAAAAGCTAACAATAATATCTACAGCGTGTGTGTAATATCCCAATAGAAATAATAAAATCATGATCAGTTTAGAAGAAAGTTAATCGAGAAGCGGTTAGAGTCATTTCTCACGAATACTGTAAAGAAAGAAAGAAAGAAAGAAAGAAAGAAGAAAAAGATTAAAAGATATTAAAAAAGACAAAAAACAAAAAAGAAAGAAAGAAAGATAGAAACTAATTTGGAAAGAAAGAAAGAAAGAAAATGTCAAAAGAAATTAAGAAAAAGACAATCAAAAAAGAAAAGAAAAAAAGAAAGAAAGAAAGAAAGAAAGAAAGAAAGAAAAGAAAGAAAAAACTAATTTATAAATAAGCAAAAGTAAATAATAAAAAAGAAAAAGAAAGGAAAAAGTGGGGAGAAAGATTAAAAGAACAAACACAGACAAAAAAAAGAAGAAAGAAAGAAAGAAAGAAAGAAAGAAAGAAAGAAAGAAAGAA